TTGGTAAATTCCATCGTCTCCGTGATCTTTACTAACCCTCCTCCTTCTGTCTCTAATATCGAACTATCTGTAACTTTATTGCCCTCCGAAACACTGGAAGCTGTTTCAGAATATACTGTAGAGACAAAACCATTGATGGTCATTAATCCACTTCCCTTCGCTCCTCCTCCTCACTTGTCTAAACCATCTACGCAACTCTGTACTTCGCAACGTACCAGTCCTTCGCTGCTTACTCGTTTCCCACTACCTAGCCCTTGTGGCTTAGCGCTTCCTTTTGATTATAATAATAATAATAATTCCCACTACCTCCATACGTAGACTTTAACCCAACTAGTCGGTAGACACCCACTGCTTCATGTTACCGGTATACTTCTCGCAAAAAATGACTTATTTACAGGGAAATATTCGATGCTTCAGGGGTAATCGGGGTGAGCTTCAGGTAGTGCCCTCCCAGTTTTTCCCTGTTTGTGTCTGTTTACAAGAACCTAAATTATGCTCCGCTGTTATCCATCCCATCTCGGCCTATATTTTATTGCATTTATCAGATTCTTTTCCCAATGGAACTTTTAATGAAGGTGCACTTCTTATATGCACCGGTATACTATACCATCAGATCTCTGTTCATACTTCGCTGCATTACACTGGAACCTGCATCTACTTGAAAAAGTGGTATATAGTCTTTGTCTCCTTCTCGGGCATTTTCTCTCGCAGATGTTGCATTTCTGGTTTCTTTCCTACTGCCACCTATTATGTTATTAGATTATTTTTAATGCTTATTTCCTTCTGGGGTTCTCACTGTGACTCTTACAGCGATCAGTGAGAGGCTCTTCTCACATCTCTTCCCCTTTGTTTTAAATATGGGTACTACCAAACATTTTGACCCTCACACTGATCTCAGTTTGCTCCTCGTCTGTGTTCCCAGATTTACATAACAATCGTTTTCCTATTTTTTTTCCTTCCCATTTGTATTCTCACCCTCCTCAAAGCCCACATTGGCAGTGTGAACGAGCGAACTGGGACCTGTACTCTCACCAAACTGCTTTTTAGTGACTAGGACACTTCTTCGTCCTCTTCTGATGAGGTATTACGACCTCAGTTTTAACTGCTGCTTCACATTCTATTCTCAAACTTCGAGCAGGTATACACAGAAGTAAGTGACTTGGTCGTCTCCTGCTTGTGCTCTTGCAGTTCGTTTGAAATGTGTTCCATGGGATCGATATCATTACAATAGGACCACAGAGCGTCTCCTTGATTTTAAACGGGCGAGAGCGGTCGCCCAATATGTCATCCGTGAAGCTAAATGCACTTGTTGGCAGGATTGTTTACAGAGTTACTTCGGTTTCCTGTAGGAGTACAGTTTGGAAAAAAGTACGGAAATTGAGAGGCAATTACTCTCCAGACCTGACTCTTTCTTCAGGTTGCAGATATTGCAAACCCTCTTAATGCTGTCGCGGAGATCGAA